GTTTACAGGGCGTCGGAGCGTTGTTGATGATGATGGTGACGATGCTGGCGATGATGAGAGTGATGAGGATGCTGATGGTGATGATGGCGATGATGATGATGATGATGAAGATGAAGATGAAGATGAAGATGAAGATGAAGATGATGAACGAGCAGTTGAGGCAACGACGAAGAAGAGGAGGATCCATACTGATAGTGATGCCCAGATACCGATTGTTGTGCTGGTGGTGGCGCCGCTGCTGCTGCTGCTGCTGCTGCTGCTGGGGAGTACTTCTTGTGGCAGTGATGATGATGATGATGGTGATGATGATTAGGATGATGATGACGATGATGGTGGTGATGATGATGACGGTGGTGATGGTGATGGTGATGGTGATGGTGATGACGACGATGATGATGATGGTGTGTATGTGTCGGTGTCATCCTTGTGCTGATGATTCGTGCTGCTCCTACAGTCCGACAGTTATAGTTAAGACTGGTTGTTGTTACCATAATTTTATAATCATTCTCGTGCTTGCCACCAGCTACAAATCTTACAAGTCGATCTATTTGGGTCCAATCTCCTCCGTGCACCTTCCCATTATACACAGGACTTCGGGTTTAGGGTCCCTAAACCCTAAACAACCCTAACCCTATACTAACTAAACCCGACACCCCAAACCCCAAACGAAACCCTATCCCCTGAACTAAACCCGGCACCGTTGTGAGCCCGAAACCCTGATATGATTTCCTTCAGATCCCTTATAGGAGCCCTTAAAGGAGCCCTTGTTGAGGCCTTTTTCTTGGCACCTTGACCCAAAGCCACATCCTGGACGACAGCCTGGACCGGACGACCCGTGAGTTCCTGTACGAAGCTTGGCTTTGAAGACCCATACGGTTGATGATAGAAATCCTGCGTTACCCATAATAAGGAATACACCATATGTCCCATAGTTTAGGGTCCTTAAGGTAATGCAGGATTTCTATCATCAACAGTAGTTTAGGGTTTACGGTATTGGGTTTAGGGTTTAGGGGTTTAGGGTTTAGGGGGCCCGTAATGCTACTCGTAGCAATAATAATAGTAGTAGTGAGAATAAGAATAATGATGACAACAAGTGTACTAGTAAAATTTAACAGCAATAATGACATTAAAAAATACTGATAGTAATACGAATATCAGAATTGCTACTGGCAGCAATATTCATAGTAGTAGTGATAATGACACTAACAATAAGCACAGGAATAATGATGACAATAAACATGTTTGGAGTTTAGGGGCGTGGGCAATCTTAAACCCAAGCCCACCAAAAGAACATCAAAATCCGAAAACGTACAAGCCTTACAACCCAAACTTAAAGCCCCCAACCCTAAACCCCTAAACCCCTAAACCCTAAACCCTAAACCCTAAACCCTAAACCCTAAACCCTAAACCCTAAACCCTAAACCCTAAACCCTAAACCCTAAACCCAAGCCAATGCTTGGGTTTTTAGAAGCCTAGGTACTCTCTAAAGGGTTCCTTTTCGGGTTCTGTGAAGCTACTCTAGTCCCCTCAGGCCACCTAAACCAAAACGCTAAACCTAAACCAAATAACCTCAAGCCCTCCCTAAACCCTACACTGAAAAACCCTAAACCCTAAACCCTTTAACCCTATTCTCAAATTCCCAAGCCGAAAGACCTTTTTCTAGATAGAACCCCTATAAAGAGCCCTACAACCCTGAACTCTTGCAGGGAGCCCCAGTAGGCGCGATGTTCCCTTATAGGGAGCTGGGCTTCCGGGGGTTCTTTCAAGCAACCCTTAAAGCAAGCCCCTATAGAACCCTGAAAGGGAGCCCTTAAAGAGCACCAAAATCCCAAATACCCCTGAACCCTACCCTAAACCCCTAGACCCAAAACCCTAAACCCCTGAAGCCTAAACCCCTAAACCCTAAACCCTAAACCCTATAGCACCCTTAAAGGAACCCTTCAGGCGCGATTTGCCCACGCCACCTCGGCCTCGTACTACCTCTTTGAGGCTGCCTTGACTTCTGCCTGGGCCTCTCGGTTGCGTTCTTTGTTTTCGAAGAGGTGTGTGGGGTTTAGGGGTTTAGGGTTTAGGGGTTTAGGGATTTAGGGTTTAGGGGTTTAGGGATTTAGGGCCTATTTAGGGTTTAGGGATTTAGGGTTTAGGGGTTTAGGGATTTAGGGTTTAGGGGTTTATGGTTTAGGGTTCATGGGTGTGGGGTTTAGGGTTTAGGGGTTTAGGGGTTTAGGGATTCAGGGTTTAGGGGTTTAGGGATTTAGGGGTTCAGGGTTTAGGGTTTAGGGTTTAGGGTTAAGGGATTTAGGGTTTAGGGGTTTATGGTGTAGAGTTCACGGGTTTAGGGTTTAGGGTTTAGGGTTCATGGGTTTAAGGTTTAGGGATTTAGGGTTTAGGGTTCATGGGTTTAGGGGTTGGGTTTAGTGTTTAGGGCTTGTGTCTAGAACGACTTTGGATTTGAATCCCACAGTCAACCTATCCTTGTAATGAAGCTGCTAACATTATTCGAACATTTGTACTCCAAACTCTTTTCACATGCATGAGTGCGATACCGACGCAATCGTCATGCCATGAGGGGGCTGTGAGACAATGGCAGCCAAACGCAACCCTTAAAGGAACCCTTGTAGATTAAAGGAAGCCTTAAAGGAACCCTTACAGACCCCTTGAAAGGAACCCTTACAGACCCCTTAAAGGAGCCCTTGTAGACCCCGTAAGGGAACCCTTATAGACCCCTTAGGAACCTTGTCAGGCAATCAAGCCCATCAAACTCTAAAGGCCCCAAGATAAAGCTTAATTTGATCGGGTTTAGGGTTTAGGAAACCCATATGGGTCATGGTATAGTTATCCCTAAATCCCTAGAGTACCCTTGAAGAGCCATCCTAAAGAACCCTTAGTCCCTTGAAGGGGCCCTGAAGAGATCCCTTATGGGGAATCCCAGCACTAGGTGTCCTTAACCCCGGTTTCCAACTTTTTGGGGCTTGCTACAAAGGAACCGTTACAGACGCCTGAAAGGAAGCCTGAAAGGAACCCTTATAGACCCCTTAAAGGAAGCCTTAAAGGAACCCTAATAGATCCCTTGAAGGAACCCTTATAGACCCCTTAAAGGAACCCTTACAGGAACCCTTAAAGGAACCCTTAAAGGAACCCTTAAAGACAACCCTTAAAAAAACTCTTATAGATCCCTTCTAAAAGGAAGTCTAGACTTCACGGATCGAAGCCCTGCCTGAGGTAACCTCAGCCGGGCCGATGATCTTCGACGCGCCTTGGCTTTTGGCAGGGCCCTGCGGTTCCCTCGACGCTTCCTTTGGGGTCCTGAAGGGTTCCTTTAAGGCTACTGTTTAGGCTCTAGGGTTTAGGGTTTAGGGGTTTAGGGGTTTAGGGTTTATGGTTTAGGGTTTAAGGGTTTAGGTTTAAGGGTTTAGGGTTTAAGTTTAGGGTTCAGGGTTTAAGGGTTTAGGGTTTAGGGTTTAAGGGTTCAGGGTTTAGGGTTTAAGCGTTTAGGGTTTAGGGTTTACTGGGTTTTAAGGGTACCATAGGAATCCTGAAGGGTTCTCTTTAGGTGTCATTAAAAAGATTTAGAGGGGATCTATTGAGGGTCCCGTTTTGAGGGAATAAGGGTTCCTTTAAAGGGTCTCTGAGGGTTTGAGGTTTAGGGATCTATGAAGGGATCGATTGAGGCAGCGGTTGAGGGTCCCTTTATTTAATGGAGTAGGCGGTCGCCCTTGAAGTGTACTGTCAGGGATTTGGAAGGGCTCCACCGGCTTTTTTTTTGAAAGGGCTCGTTTAAGGGTCGAGACTGGCTTTCCTGCCAACGCCCAAAACCTTAAACCCCTAGAGCTTTTGGAGTTCAGGTTCTGAGTTAAGGGCTTGTAGGGTTTCTTTCGCAAGCTAGCGGTGCCTCACCTGCCCAGGTCAGCAGCCTCTTTGCACTCTTCTGGGTACCATATGCTCCTTGACGGCTGAAGTCGAACCCCCGACGTTGAGGGCAAGATTCAAGGAGCCATCGATGTGCCAGCTCCTGCATCTTGAACCCGCAAATCTCAACCCCAAACACTTGAAACCTTAAGCCTTAAAGCTTAAACCCAAACCCCAAATCTCCTGAACCCCGCTTCGCCCTAAAGCCTTCGCCCTAAAGGTTATCATGGTGAACTTTGCCGTGACGCGCGTAATTGCAGCCCTGTTCTTGAAGTCGACACTCGAAGTCGCCGCGCGGGAGAAGGAGAAAGTTGCCAACGAGGCTCGGTCACCGACGTTCAGAGGAGTTTGGGGTTTAATGGTAGGGACCTGATGAAGAAACCCTGGTCTCATATATATTAGGTGCGTATTAAGAACCCTGAAAAAGGCCCAGGGTTTCTGTGTCAGGTTCATATATAACTATCTGGAGTTATTGCCACATAGAGGTTTCTTTAAATGAGGTTCAGGCTTGATGGTAAGACTTGCCAGATTTTATGGGGGGTTGCTTGCAACTGGGTAGTTCGGGTCGCGATGAGTCTTCCCGGTTAGAGCTTTAGTACTCGGATCGTTGTTGATATCCCTGCTATCCTTATTCATGGACGACCGGTCAGTTGGGTCGACAGAACCTGAAGCCTAAGAGCGCTTTGAGTTGCGACAGGCCAAGAAGAAGAAGGACAAGGTGGCGAAGCGCCGTGCTCTCGGTGACTGGCAGTCTCGCGGCCCAAGCACAGCTGATAGAACCCTCTCATCCTTGAGGCCTTAAGCACATCTTCAAGCTGGCAGACGCTTGGAGAGGTCAGAGACTCTTTACCCTCACTCGCTCTGGGAAGCCGTTGTGAATGATGCCAAGCTCCCCTTGTAGCCCTACATAACCATACTATGATGGACCCAACTCCTGATACAAAAAATCATAAACCCTAAACCCTAAACCCTAAACCCCAAGCCCTGAAACATGTTCCAAAGAGTCCACTCAACTGATCCCTTTCCCGGCTGAAAGCTACTAACTCAGGATGGGAGTGGCAGGGAGCTCAGCTGGACGTTGAGGGTTCAGCGTTTGGGGCTTAGGGTTGGGGGTGGTTTAGGGTTTACGGTTTACCTGGACGCCGAAAAACCCACCTTTTTTAAGGACTCATCTAAAGAAGCCATAATAAGGAGCCCCAAATAGGTAGGTTATTTGGGGTTAAGGGAGGGTTTAAGGCTTACGTGCAACGAAGGTCCTCTCATTCCCGGGTCTTGTTAAGGAATAGACCTGTTGTCGGTTCTTGCTTTATCTCCTTCGCAAGGGCCTGCATTCAGGTTGAGCAGTTCATGCTGCCATGCAGCAGCAGTTTGAGGTAGCATGGTCTCGGCGTTCAGATGCTTCTGTCGCTGGTTTCTGAGAGATACGCCTGCGAGTGTGGGCTATGTCTCAGGTGACGGGTGCGTAGAATTGGAAGATTTCCGGCGGATGCTCGACGAGCCAGATGTGTCGCTTGGCTAACCTCTGAACTTCCAAAATCCTAGGCTCAAGCCTTAAGCACTAAACATGAACCCTTGTCAGACCTAACTTTTTATATGGAACAAAGACCCGAATATCCCCCACCCGAATTCCAATTATCAAGGCCCGTAAGCCTACATCCCCAACCCTAAACCATCCGTGCCCGATTGCCCCGTACAAGGGGAGTCTAGGTCAAACAAAGCCCTACCCTAAATTCGCAACCCGACACCCTATAAACCATGAACCCAAAGTCCTAAAGCCTCAACCCCAAACCCAAAGCCGTAAACCCTCAACCCTAAACCCTAAGCCCAATAGGTAAGCTTTAAACTTTTTTGGTATATTAAAACCCCCCACTCAAAAGAAAAGTTTAAACTTCTTTGGGCCAGGCTACTGGGCAGCTAAGCCTAAACCCTAAGCCCATAGCCTTCGGGGCTTAGTTTTGAGTGCTGAGCCCTCTCTCAGCAGCTCGTGGGCTGAGGCTCGAACACCTCGAGGAGATGGAGTGTCCTGGCTGACACCCCTAAACCCTAAACCCTAAAGCCTAAAGCCTAAACCCTAAACCCTTAAACTCCTAAACCCTAAAACCCTAAACTCTTATAGCTTTAAGCCTAAACCCTTAAACCTAAACCCTTAAACTCTTAAACCCTAAAACCTAAACCCTGGGGTTGAGGGTTTAGGAGTTCGTGTTTCGGGTGCAGGGTGAGAGAACAGGGTCGGAGCTTTGTTCCAGGGCCTCCCCGCCCCGTACGCTGAATGCAAGCGTCGCTGTCGTCTCTTGATGTGGCTTTAGGGTTTAGGGTTTAGGGTTAGCTGTAGCCGCAGCCACTGTCAGCCTGTCAGAATACCCGCTTATAAGTCCCAATATGACTACAGCAGAATATGTCCCACATCGTTTACCCTGACTTTCAAATTCGCATTAATTATGAATCCCATATCAAACGCTCTGACCCTACCTCTATCAGACTCTAGCACTCTGTATACCCTGGATAGCTTACAAGAACGCTCTGTTCTTATCTTCTTATGGTCCCAAGCAGAGGCTTAACCACAACGAGATGCCCTAAACCCTAAACCCTAAACCCTAAACCCTAAACCCTAAACCCAAGCAGAGGCTTAACCACAACGAGATGCGTGCGACACGCGGCTGAATGAAGCGCCTTTCGAGGTTTCTTTATGAGCCTTTGAGGGTTTCTTCATCGGGAGTTGAGAAGGGCTTTCTATGCTTTAGGGCTTAGGGTTTAGGGTTTAGGGGTTTAGGGCTTAGGGTTTAGGGTGTAGGGTTGAGGGTTTCTTCATCGGGAGTTGAGAAGGGCTTTCTAAACTTTAGGGCTTAGGGTTTAGGGTTTCGGGGTTTAGGGCTTAGGGTTTAGGGCTTAGGGTTTAGGGTGTAGGGTTGAGGGTTTGTTCATCGCGAGTTGAGAAGGGCTTTCTGAACTTTAGGGCTTAGGGTTGAGGGTTTAGGGGTTTAGGGCTTAGGGTTTAGGGTGTAGGGTTGAGGGTTTCTTCATCGGGAGTTGAGAAGGGCTTTCTATGCTTTAGGGCTTAGGGTTTAGGGTTTCGGGGTTTAGGGCTTAGGGTTTAGGGTGTAGGGTTGTCAATGTCAGGGGTTTAGGGCGTTGTTAAACGGGGTTCTAAGGCTTCAAGAAGAAAACAAGGGGTTGAAAGGCTTCAAGAAGGGCTATGTTTGAGCTGAGGCTGGAGAGTGCTGCCGGAGAGGGCATTGAAGCATTCTGAACCCGAAAGCCCGAAAGGCGGGTTGCAGAAAATGGGGGCACCTCATTTGGGGGGACGGAGGTGCGAAGAAAAGGGACCAATTATTTTGGGTTCTACGCGGGGTCTCTCTTTCTGCAACTCCCAAATCGCAACTGCTGCAGTTGAAAGCCTTTTGAGGGCTTCCGTGATGGCTTGCAAAACCAGGAGCGCTTGAAACCAAAGCCGTACAAGTCCTAAACCCCAAACACAAACCTAAACCCTCAATCATCAACCCTGAGCCCGAAAACCTACACCCTGTATACCCTAAACCCTAGCCCTAAACCCTATACCCTAAACCCTATACCCTAAACCCTATGCCCCAAACTCCCCTGAACACCCAGGTTGGTGGACTTGCTCAGCGAGGGAGGGAAGCCAGTCCCCATCTCGGAGCCTTTGCTCAAGCAGCCGAGTCCCGAAGCAAAGGCTCTTCATAGACACGGAAGGTTTCAAAAGGGTTTGGGGTGTTTAGGGTCTAGGGTTTGGGGTTTGGGGTTTATGGTTTGGGGTTTAGGGTGCTTATTTGTTGTCCCGCTTTGTTTTCAGTTTAAAGCACTCCCGTTTCTCAGGACTTCCTGCATGCGGCGCTGACCATGAACGACACGGCAAGAACGATTCACATGATGCAGCCCCTCGATCGAAGAGAGCGACTATAGAAGCCTTATTTTTAACAGGAGCCCTTATAGGAACCTTTAAGAGAACTCTTAAAAGAACCTTTACCCTAACCCTAGACCCGAAACCCGAAGCCCCAAACCCTCAACTGTAGACCCTAAACCCTAAGCCTTAACTTTTAAACCCTTGAAAGAGCCCTTATGTACCTTTACTCACCCTGCCTGCAACCCTAAACCCTAAACTCCAAAGCTGTGTGAAGGGCCGTTGCACGGTTCAAAAGAAAGACTCCAGAGCTTTACCCCTAGACAAGGAACCTTTAATCTATAAGATCCCGCAAAAAACCTCAAACCCAAAGCCCTAAACCCTCAACCCTTAAAAGAACCCTTACTTTTGCTTCCCCGAACCCTAAACCCTAAACCCGGGCTTCCCTTTCTTTGAGGACGTCCATCGATGTCGCGCGGATTGAAAGGGCCATCGTCCAGCTCGGTCTGGGCCTCAGATGTTCTGTTTGGGCTCTTTCAAGGGGTTGGGGTTTAGGGTTTAGGGTTTAGGGTTTAGGTTTTAGGGTTTAGGGTTTGGGGTTTAGGGGTTTAGGGGTTTAGGGGTCTAGGGTTTGGAGTTTAGAGTTTAGGGTTTACGGTTTAGGGTTTAGGGCTTTTTAAGGGATCCATAGAAGGATCTGTTAAGGGATCCATTACGGGATCCCTTGATGGGCCCCTTTAAGGGATGAAGGGTTCCGTAAAGGGTTCTTGGAGGGTACGATAGGGGTTTGGGAAGTGTGTTCCATGAGGGTTTTTGATAAGGGTTCCTTGAAGAGTTCCTGAAGGGGTCCTGTAAGGGGCACGATAAGGGTTCTGAAAGTTTAGAGTTTGCGGCTGTTGGGTCTCAGGGTTCGGGTTTAGGCTTCGGGGCTTAGGGTTTGGCGACGCCTTTTGAGAAAGGGGCGTGGGAAGTATAAGTAGTCTTCCGCATAGTCGATGATGTAGTGATACAGTACCAGACGCAAAACGCCAGCGCCCGCCCTCCCCGAACCCTAAACCCTAAACCCCTATAAACCCTATAAGCCCTATAAACCCTATAAACCCTATAAACCCTATAAACCCTATAAACCCTATAAACCCTATGTCTATAAAACCTAAACTCTAAACCCTAAACCCTCAATCCTATAAACCCTAAACCCAAGCCCAAAACTCCTCAAATCGGACCCCCCTTCCTGGCTTCGCTGGATCAGGTGCCAGGCAGAATGCCCTGCTCCGAAAACTGACGAAAGTCAGTTTGGAGGCCACAGTCTCCGCGGTTTGAGAGGCCCCGAAAACAGCCAAGGCCCTAGACATTGCGGGTTTTCCCTAAAGCCTAAACTCTATAGCCTAGACCCTAAACCCTGAATCCT